CAGCCTACAGAGTGGGAGAAAATTTTGGCTAATAATGCATCTGACAAGGGATTAATATCCAGAATATACAAGGAACTCAAGCAATTATACAGTAAAAAACCAAATAACCCAATTAAAAAATGGGCAAAGGAGCTGAATAGACATTTTTCAAAGGAAGACTACAAATGGCCAACAGGTACATGAAAAAATTCTCAGCATCACTAGTCATCAGAGAAATGCAAATTAAAACTACACTGAGATACTACATCACCCCAGTTAGACTGGATAGAATCAAAAAGATGGTGAATAACAAATGCTGGCAAGGGTGTGGGGACAAGGGAACACTTCTGCACTGTTGGTGGGACAGTAAATTAGTACAACCACTATGGAAAACAGTATGGAGGTTTCTCAAACAACTACAGATAGATCTTCCATATGATCCAACAATCCCACTTATGGGTATATACCCAGAGGAATGGAAATCATCATGTCAAAGGGATACCTGCACTCCCATGTTCATCGCAGCTCTGTGTACAATAGCCAAGACATGGAACCAACCTCAATGTCCATCAATGGATGATTGGATTGGATAAGGAAACTGTGGTATATATACACCATAGAATACTACTCTTCCATAAGAAAGAATGAAATACTCCCATTTTCAACAACATGGATGAGTCTGGAGAAATTTATGTTGAGTAAAATAAGCAAAGCACAGAGGGATAAATACTGCATGTGCTCACTCACATGTGGGAGCTAAGAGAGAAAGAAGGAAGAAATAGTGTGTAGGTCTTGCAGAGAGAGAGAACATTCTTTGGGCTACAAAGTGGAGTGAGGGGGAAAGGTGGAGGAAAAGGGAGGTTGGAGATAATTGGGTGTGGGACATGGGGTACAAATGCAATTTGTGGTAATGGGTATGCTTCCAGTATGGATCTGGACCTCACATCATGGGCATGAGGGGTGATAATCAGCTTTGTATCTCATGAATATACATAATAGATAGATAGATAGATAGATAGATAGATAGATAGATAGATAGATAGATAGATAGATGATAGAGAGAGAGAGAGAGAGAGAGAGAGATAAAAATGAAAGAAACTAAAAAAAGAATGAATGAAAGCAAGACAGTCTCTGGGCAGATGGTGCCAATCACACTTTTGGCCACCAGATGGCGATCGTGCCAGCCTTCTCCAAGTCAAAAACTCTTCCTCAAACTCTAAGACGGGAAAGACCTTGAAGAGCCACTGCTTGGGACCTCTCGCTTGGCAGACAGGAAACTTTCCACAGCATTTGAGAATATTCATGTATTTCATCAAGAAGGTAAATTTTCATTTTTCCTCTAATTGTCCATCACAAAACAATAGTGGTAACTACAGGTGTGCATTAAGGTAAATAAGGACTGTGCCTTGAAGTGCATTAACTCTCTTATTCCACACATGAGTTCCCATGAAGTTTAAGTAATCATGCCCCACTTTTCAATATGACACATAGTGCATGATCTCACATGTGGAATTTAAAATAGTCAAACTCATAGAAGCAGTAAGTGGAATGGTGGTTGCCAGGGGCTAGGAGTGGGGGGAATGAGATGGTGAACGTTAAAGGATATGTTTTAGTTATGCAAGATAAATAGGTTCTGGAGAATTAAAACACAGCATAGTGCCTTTAGCTAACAATACAGTACTGCATACTTAAAATTTGCTAAGAAGGTAGATTTCATGTTAAGTGTTCTTCAAAAAGAAAAATGTGTGTGTGTGTGTGTGTGTGTGTGTGTGTGTGTGTGCGCGCGCGTGTGAAGTAAGCCAGGCTCAGAAAGACAAATACTGCATAGTCTCGTTCATAAGTGGAATCTCAAAAGGTGTCCACATGGAAGAAGAGAGTGGGATAGTGGTGAGCAGAGGCTGGGGAGGGGCGAGGAAAGGGGGACGAGGAGAAGAGGCTCACTGGTGCAAAGTCACAGGGAGACAGGAGGAACAGCTTCTGGTGCTCCAGGGTGACTACTGCAAGTAAAACTGTATTGTGTATTTCAAGATGGCTAGAAAAGAGAATCTTGAACGTCATCTCCACACATAAATGATATGTTTAGGTGATGGCTATGCTACCTACCCTGAGTAGATCATTATACAATATATGCACATATTGAAACAATGCTCTGCACCCATAAGCATGCACAATTTAAATAATAATAATATTAATTTAAAAATTAAAACAATGATAATAATAATAAAGAGGGCAGGAGGAAACTTAGGGAGGTGATGGATTTGTGTATGGCCCCAATGGTGGTGATGGTTTCACAGGTGTATACTTATCCCCAAATTCATCAAGATGTATACACTAAACAGGTAAAGATCTATATTTGTCAATCACACCTGAATAAAGTGGTTTAAAAAACCTCACCACAGTTAAGACAATGTTCTTATCACCGTGTTCAAGATCCTTTGTGATCTGGGCACTCTCTCACCTCCACCATCACCTCTCTGGCCCTACGTCCCCTCGTGCTCATCCTGCCTCAGGACCTTTGCACTTGTCATTCCTTCCTTCAGGAATCCTCTTCCCCAGGTATCCACACAACATGCTCCCTTCCTTTCCCCAGGCCTCTGATCTCATCACCTAACCAGAGATGCCTCCTCAAACCCGTCTAAAACTTAGTAGCCCCACTCCCATCTCTCACTCTTCTTTCCCCACTATTCCCCTTACCTGCTGCATTTTCTCTATAGCACTTGTCATCACCTGTGATTGTCTATTTATTTTCTATCTCCTGCCACTGGAATGTAAGTTACATGGGTAAAGCAACTTTATTTTTTGGTATTATATTCCCCAACACCTACATCAATAAATATATTAAAAATGAATCCATGCCTGACACATACTCTGTGCTCAATTGTAAGTCAATGAATAAAAGAAAGATAGATGTTTTTTTACAAACTCACAGTCACTAAAGCAAACCAGATAGATATCTCTGAAACAATAAATGGAATGTTCCTGTTGAATTACAGGAACTCAGCATCTTCACTGAATTTTTTCCCCAGTGAATTGAATTGATTCCCAATAGACATAGTGGGAGCTATGAAAGAAGACCTCCTGGAAAGCTGACATCTATTTTCTCTGGGAAATTCATCAACAGCAGCAGCAGGATAATCCACCAGGGAAATCTGAAGGCCAATAAACAATAAAATGAGGGGAAATTAATTCTATGTTTTCTAATTTGGTACCTTCAGCAGCATCATGTAGCCTCAGCATTTTGGTAAATCATCTAAATAGCCAGAAATCTAACATTAACTACATTGCCATTGTTGTTGAATTATGTCCTGGGTCATATCTCATGATTTTATAATGCCAGGAATGCTTATTATTTCTGTTTGCAGTCAGAATGGATGCATATAAAGAAGTCTATGCTACCCATTTAAAAATGAAAACAAACTGGGAGAATGGTAATTTTATTCAGTGAAGCAATTATTTTAGACCTGGAAAAGCTGTTGAAATCATCCAGCCCAGGTTGTATTGTGTTTTATTGTGTGGCTTGGGGCCCCCTGGACTTTTCATCAAGAAATCTTAAAAGGACATCCAATGAGAAGCAGATGGAAGCAAAGCCCCCCCCCCCGCCATGACATGGGGTGTTGAGCCAGACACCGGTCCCCCAGCCCCCATGTTCCTCGAGGTGTCCAAGGGCAGGCCAGGGAGCTCTTCAACACATAGTTAAAAAACGCTGATTTAGTCCAATCTCTCTGTTCCACAAATGAGGAGACAATGCTCAGTGTGTAGCCATCCTGCCAGTTTTCACTTGAAGTTTGAATCTCCTTCAATAACAGACATGTTCTCTCATTAACTTTTCCCACCACCCTATAAAATAACATTTATTACACCACACCCATTTCTACAGAAAAGTGAACATTGCTTCCTCAAGGAGGCTTTTTCTGACACCCTGGACTAAGTCTCCCACATATTCCTTTAATACCATACCCTTCTCTACATGAAAATCTCATCAAATTTTTCTTAATGATTTCAATGCATGTATACCCCTTAGGTATAAACCCTATGTCAACAGAGACAGTCTCCGTCATCTTCACCATCACATCCCCAGAGCCTAGAACTTGGCTTATAAACAGACCATCCTGGAACGAAGCAGAGTCCTTTGTGGGGAAGGATCGTGTGTGTTTGTCTTTTTACCCCCCCTCTGCCTGGTAGTATACTTAGCTCAGAGTAGCAGCTCAGTAATTACCTTTGAATTGAACTGAATCGTGGAAATAAAACTGCGTAGAACTCAGAAAACATCTGTTCCAGTACCTACTCGGACTTTTTATAGGGTTATTTGGTCTTGAAAAATCGTTCTATGTAGTTTGTCCTTAGTTTTGTCACCCACGATGTAAAAGCGTTGGGGAAGTTGTCAAAAACCTTTTACCTGGAAAAATCTGTGATGCTATTTCCTCTGCTGGGAGATATCTCATAAAGGTACTAGGCGGGAACTTGGATTAATAATAATATATATTATAATATTTATGTAATTTATATATCATAAATTCTTTTTTTTTTTTTTTGACCAGTAAGGGGATCACAACCCTCGGCACGGTGTGGTCTGCACCACGCTCAGCCAGTGAGCGCACCTGCCATCCCTATATAGGATCCGAACCCACGGCCTTGGCGCTCCCAGCGCTGCACTCTCCCAAGTGAGCCACGGGGCCGGACCTTATAAATCATAAATTCTAAACAGGAATGAGTGGTTACTATAGGACCTTAGGAATCACACCTCATGCAAAGAAATCTTTGCTAGCTGGGTGACTGCAGGTGAGGTATATAACTTTGCATGCCTCAGTATCTTCATTAACAGAACAGGGGTGAAGATGTAATAAGACCACATAACTAAAGAGTTAGCATGATGCTGAGCACCTAACAAAATCTCAACAAATGTGAGCTGACGTTATCATCAATATTATTAAAAATAGGAATGGTTTCCATTTCAGCATATGTAGAAATGGTGCTTAATGACATTTTCCATAAATTCACTGGTGTTCCCTCTTATGTTTTAGGAGAAAAATTCATCCAGGGGAACAAGGTAAGAGACGCCATTAAAATGCACCTGTTACTCACTCTTCCCTGTAGAAGCACAGACATGGGGACAATGTAAAGGCTTAAATATCATTTGAAAAATATGTCCTAGAAGTCTGGTCAGCATTTGTAATTTCTATTTGTAAACCAAAAAAAAAAAAGAAAGAAAGAAAAAAATTGTTGAGCATTGGCCCTGCTCAAAGAACAATAAACTTAATTTCTGATTCTCTTTTTTCTTGCAGATTCCTTTACCACCTCCTCGGTAAGACATTTAAAACATTATTTTGTTTTGTTATATACTTTGATGATTTGTGCCAGCACTTGAAAAAAAGAAACACACATATTTGACATTGAAAAACAAATATGAGTTAATAAGATTAAACGAGGCTTCATTCAACCATTTAATCATTCATTCCACTGTAGTTATCCATTCAATACAGCTTCACTCATCATTTCTTGGTGAATGTATTTCTTCCCTATTCCTTTTTTTTTTTTTTTTTTCCCCCTCACCCTGTGTTTAGGACAGAAACCTGCCAGATGGGTAAATATCTGTCATACCCAGGTTCATCTGGGACTGGGATATGTACTCAAAAGACTTATAATATACAAATATATATTTATGTAAGTGCATATATGTACACAATACATATATAGACACAAATATTCTATTTATGCACATATGTGGAGGGAAAAATAGCAGACTTGACTGCCGAGGCTCTGAGCTGGGCACTTCTGTGAGTTCAGTAGGCTGTGGGTCCTGCCATAGCAGTAGTTACACTCTCTGAAGATCATCCTTCACTTCTCTCTCTTCCCCCCCGGAGGGAAGCATCTCGAGCCAACGACTGTCCTTTTCCTCTCTGCGTCACACTTTGTGGGTGAGGGAGTCAGCAGGTGAATAACGTGGGCCACTGAGGCACTCCTTGACTTCCAAACACTTTCACATTTCTTTGGGGAGTTTTAACAACTCAGGTCTTCCAGTCTGGATGAGTACAAGGCTGTTACCAAATCTTCCCCAGGCCTCCTAAAACAGGAAGCGTATTGAAACGCATATGACATTCTGCAAAAACAGCTCCAGACTGAAGAGCAAGCTGCAGGGAGATAGATTCAGGCTCAAAAGCATAAATATTCTCACATTTGAAGCTGTCTGCAATGAATTGGGCTGCTCTGTAATGTGGTGAGCACCCCAAAACTGAAGAAGCGTCCACTCCAAAGCTGGGGATGCTGAGGCCAGGGTCTGAGGAGCCTCCTGCATGCGGCTCATCTCAGGCCCCACTGTGACTCTTCACACAGGCTTCCTGTCACCCTCCTGAAGAAGTACCAGCCCTTGCCCCCCGAGCCGGAGAGCAGCAGGCCACCTTTCCCTCAGAGACACACCTTTCCCGAAGCCCAGAGAGGGCCCAGGTGAGAGATCTGTGATGGCTGTGAGTGAAATGACTGGGAAGTGGTGGGACGGGGTGGGTGACAAGGGAAGCCAGATAAGTCACCTCTCTGAACAGGCCCCCTGGTGGGGCCAATTATACCTGCAGGGGAAAGAGTCTTAGAAACCTGTGGTTTGGGCTGCCCCCGGTGGCGCACTGCTACAGTGCGCTGCTTGGGAAGCGCGGTGGCGCTCCCGCCGAGGGTTCGGATCCCACATACAGACCGGTTCCCGCTCACTGGCTGAGCGAGGCACCGGAGCAACACCAAGGGTTGCGATCCCGTTGCCGGTCCCGGTCCGGTACAGGGGCGACACTGAGGGTTGTGATCCATTGCCGGACACGGAAAAAGACAAAAAAAAAAAAAAAAGAAACCTGTGGTTTGATTCTTTACAGAAAATACAGCTTCTTTGTAATAAACTGAGTTATTGAAAGAATTGCTCACTTGAGGCCTGAAGTAGTTACTAAAGAAAATGTTAAATGCCATAAAAGAGAATCAGGACATTATATAAAAAATGAAAAAGGGTTCAGATTTTTCTAGGATCAATATCATCCTCAGCTTCCCATCACCCAGGCTGAAGAAATATAGCCATGCTTCAGAACCCTTTTGTCAAAAACATTATTGCTTTGCTGACAAATAAATATTTAACAGGCAACCCTCTGGTATTGGGCTGATGACGAATCCCCACTCCTTAACGTGTGGGACATTTGGAAGCCAGCTGTAAACACAAAATGTGACTAACTCGAATGAGCATTTGTTTTTACCCCAAGAAAGATTGAATCTCCAAAATCACCTTATTTTGGAAGTCAGAGCAGAGATTAGCATTTCCTTCTTATTCAGAATGAATGGTGCTTTCCTGATGCAAGCTGGAGCCAGCAGGTCGGGGTGCAGGCATTATTTAGTCAGGAAGCATTTCTCATGGATACGAAAATTCAGGAAACCAGGCTCATTTTGAGGTTCTACGGGAAACCCATTCATCACGGCTCTGATGGTGGACATCAAATGGCCTAAAATGCCATTTCTCCCTCTACACTGTCTGGTGAATGTCTTCATCTTTCCATCCTTTACAGCCTCACACACAAATGTACATCTTCTGAGAAGCACGCTCTCCCTCCTCTCTGCCAGGGAATGTCCTCCCTGGTCTGTCCCCCTCTCGACCAGCACACGCCTTGGGAAGGAACGTTGGGGTTGGAAGGTTCTCAAGTCTGGATTCAAACTGAAATTTAGACTCTACTTCTTGTGAACTGGCAGATTTCGGGCAGGCTTCTCGACTGGGGGTGACTTTGCCCCCTCCCTCCGAGGGGACAGTTAGCAATGCCTGGAGCCATTTCTCGTTGTGACAGCTCAGGTGAGGGATGCTCCTGGCACCTAGAGAGTAGAGGCCAGGGATGCCGAAAGCATCCTACACGGCACAGGAGAGCCCCACCACAAAGATTAAGGAGGCTCAAAGGTTAATAGTGTGGAGGCTGAGAAACTCTGCCTTAGAATTCCCAGCAAAATTCTGGCCTTTTCTGAGCCCAAAGTTTTTCTCAGCAGTAAAGTAAGGATAATATCAGTACCTACCACCTCCCTCATGGGCTAATGTGCGAATTAAACAAGATGATTCCCATAAAGTGCGTGACAGTGCCAAGCCGGCACATGTTCATAACCAACACTTACTACACTCTTTTTACCGTGGTGCCTTTGTCACCCTGTATAATATACTGAGATGCAAATCTGGCTCTTTCACCCCAAAAGGAGAAACTAGCTCATTTCAGCATCTTTGTTTCCTGGCCAGTGCCTGACATGTCGTAGATGCTCAATAAATATGTATTTCCTTCTGCAGCTTCCAAAGAACCTCAGCAGCCTAGGAGTCACCAGATTTGTGCTGTTTTGATTTCCATTTTCAAAGAGTGAGGGACTGGGAGGCGACACAATAATAATAATAGACCATCAGACCCATGAAGTGGTGTCATCAGAACTGGGAATATGAAATGCCCCGTCCCTAAAGTCCCGATCGAATGGCCTATCTTGTTAAGACCCGGTCAAACTGCAGAGAAGTAAGGAAGTAGAAAATAGGACCAATAACATATCAGAGGAGATGACGTTGTTAAATGCAGAGTAAAGATTTGTATCTTCTTTCTGTTTCTTCATGCTGGAAACTACAAAATCCTGGGACGCAACAGAACTGGGTTTGGATCTCAGTTGAGCCACGTATGGCTGTACAGTTTCAGGAAACTCTTGAACAGTTCTGAGTCCTGATTTCCTGAGTTAGAAAAAGAAGGCAACACTCCCCGTGTGATAGAATTGTAATGAGGAGGTATGCCATTTCTATAAGGTGCCTAGGATAATGACGTCTGTCACAGCACAAGAAAGACGGACAGAAGGAAGGCAGGAAGGGAAGGAAGGGGGAGGAAGGAAGAAGAAAGAAAAGGCAAGCATTTACCAGGCACCTCCTGTCTGTAGCCAGCAGAATTAGACACCTAACCCCGTTTTTTCTTGAAATAAAAGCTATCTATTCCAGTGCAGTGTTTCTCATCCTGACTTTACATGAAAATAACTAGAAAGCCTTTTAAAGAGTAATATCCCCAGTGTCTGTTTTAATTGCTCCAAAGTGGGACCTGGCATCAGTATTTTTAAAGCTCTCCCAGGTGAACTGAATGTGCAGCCGGGCTGAGAACACGGAGAGAACCAGGTTCTGGGAGCACATCTGCTATGAACACTTCAAAGGCCCCTGAAGTTTGCCCAAGTTTCCAGTGTCTAACACAGTGTTCCCTGGACCGCCAGATACGGCCCTGATCACACCAACCTGTTGTGTCACCATCTGCTGCCATCTTAGTGGTGTTAATGTCTTTAGAAGTTGGCATTTTGTATCTCTGGGTTTCTGTAGTTACAGCTAATGTTAATCATTTTAGATGTGATGAGAATTATGCTGGATCTCTTCACTGCAAACATCTCCAGGGTGTAATTACATTGTATCATGTTGAATCTTTCCAGCAGCCCCATAACCTATGGTTTTCTAAGGCTCAGAAGGGCACAGTACCCACCCTGGTGGGTACACATGGTGCTCAGTTAATATGATTTCCCTACCCATTGGGGACCAGATGTCTCTAAGGTTCAGAGAAGTTAGGTCACTCAGTCAAAGTCACAGGATTAGTATATGACTGTCGAGGGGGCAAAAACATGCCAAGCCCTGTAGGAGACGCTGGGAATACCACCACAAATAAGAGAGTATTGCTTTAGGAAGAGAGCCGTGCTTCCAAATTCACTCTTGGTGCATCCTGCATGGATAGTCAGATTCCTCATGAGGCTATTGCTCTGAAAACAGAAGGAACATTGGAGAACTGAGCTTCCGTGGGCACCCCTGCAGAAGAGTGCCCACTGCCTTTCTGCCAGGGGCTAGTAAGGCTTGTGAGGTGAACGGCCCTCCCTGACGTGGAGGCTGTGATCTTCATCTGGCAATCAGCTCCATCAACTGCAGGCAGCGGCAGCTGCAGCCCTTGGCAGTGGCTGTGCTCACCCTGGATGGCGGCTGTGGTTCCAGTTGCTGTGTTTCAGCCACATTTGTCTCTGCCAGCTCCACCATTCTTCTTTTTAAAGCTAAGTCTTGGCTTCACAAAACAATCGCCGAATCGAAGCAAATCGAAGAAAAATGTCATGTAGATCATTCATTGACTCAAAACTAGAAGACAACTTTGAAGTCTGGGGAATGTCATTTGGACATTCTCAACCATTTATGTAGCATTGTTATGATTTTTACAGTATTCATGTCTTTAATATGTTTTTGCTCAGCTCATTTTTTTTTTTTTACTTAAATAAATTTACTGAAAAGAAAGACATACATTACCATAAATAACTTCAATACAGACAATTTCAGACCAAAACTTTAAGCCTGGGGAATTTTCTCTCTGATACAAGGAAAAAATAAGAAAATGTTAGAGTGGTGTTTAAGATACACTAACCACCACATTCAGACTCTCTCCTTAACGTAATCTGAAAGAGAATTAAAAAGGAACTAACTTTCCAGCTACGTATGTATTGCAATTTTAATACCACAGACCATACACCAGATAAAATCATCCTGAGTAACAATAGGAGTAGTCAACATTTTCTGAGTTCTGACTACAAATCAGGCTCAGTTTGGAGTCTTTTTGTGAGTTTGGCACATTCTGTTCTACAACAGTGCTGTGAGGAAAGCGATATTATTATCCACAATTTACTGATGAGAATGTGGAAATACAAAGTATGCATTGCACATAATATGCCCACTAAGCTTCAGTAAACTCAATGGCCCGAGATGCAAGATTCAGCCAAAATATAATTTAAGAAAAGCATCTGATATCTAAAAAAACAAACAAAAAAAAAAAACACCCATTTGTCTAACTAAGGCTTAACTATGGCTTTCCCTTTTCAACCAGCCATGCTGGCATCACAATCAATTCAAGCAATCTTAGTGACAAAAAAATATATACTCTGATGATTTGGGAAGTAAAAAAATATAGGTACTGAGAAAGGTACGGTGGTCCTTAAAAAGAGGCAAGGTATAATACAAATTCACATTTATAGATTTTAAAGTGTGAATTTTATCATTATTATAGTTTTGCAAGATGTTGCTATTGGGGGAAATTGGGTAGAGGGTACATGGGAACTCTCTGTGCTATTTCTTACAACTGCATGGGAATCTCTAATTATCCCAGAATAAAAAGTTTAATTTATTTATTTATTTATTTTTTACTTTTTTAATTTATTTTTATTTTTATTTTGTCAATATACAATGTAGTTAGTTATTGTGTCCCATCCCCCCCCCTTCCCTCCCTCCTCCCTCTCCCCCTCCCACCCAGATGTGTCCCCTCCATTTTCTCGTTGTAAGAGCTTCAAAAAAAAAAAAAGTAGAGGTTGTTAAATCTTCCTCTCAATCACTTGGAAATGTAAATAATTCTCTAGTTAAGAGGAAGTTTTTTCCTAAATGACTATACTACCCAAAGTTATCTACAAATTTAATGCAATCCCCATCAAAATTCCTATGACATTTCTCACAGAAATGGAAAGAACTATACAGTTATTTATCTGGAATAACAAAAGACCATGAATAGCCAAAGCAACGCTGAGCAAAAAAAATAAAGCTGGAGGTATTACTCTACCTGACTTTAAACTATACTACAAAGCCATAGTAACCAAAACAGCATGGTACTGGTATAAAAACAGAGACACTGATCAATGGAATAGAATAGAGCACCCAGAAATCAACCCACGTACTTACTGCCATTTGATCTTCGACAAAGGCATCAAGTCTATTCACTGGGGTCGGGACTCCCTCTTCAGCAAAGGGTGCTGGGATAACTGGTTATCCATTTGCAGGAGATTGAAACTAGACCCATATCTCTCACCTTGTACTAAAATCAACTCAAAATGGATTAAGGATTTAAATATACACCCCGAAACAATAAAACTTATTAAAGAAAATATAGGAGAAACCCTTCAGCAAATAGGGCTGGGCACAGACTTCATGAATATGACCCCAAAAGCACGGGCAACCAAAGGAAAAATAAACAAATGGGACTATATCAAACTAAAAAGCTTTTGCACAGCAAAAGAAACAATTAACAGAGCTAAAAGACAACCAACAGAGTGGGAGAAAATATTTGCAAAATACACATCTGACAAAAAGTTTAATTTAAAAAGATGTGTGAGCATCAAAGTGTTCTGCAGATGTAAAATGTTATTTCATTCCAAATACCTTTCTTTTATCTTTGTTTCATTTAGAAATTTCAACAGTCCTCTTTATTACTGTCTGGATTTATCCATTTTACAGGTGGAAAAACTATGCTTCAGAGAAAAAAATTTAACTTATTAAAGGGGACAGAGCCCGTAGACAACAAAGCAAGAATTCAAACCCAATTCATTTAAAACTAAGACAAAAACAAAGGGATGCCCAAGAAGGCCTATATTGATGATAAAGGGTAATATCCTTAAATTTATACCAAGTGCAGAAAAAAGGTTTTTCTACACAATTAATGGCCATGTTTTATTGGCCATCTCCAGCAGACAGATGTGGTCAAACTTACAAGTTCAAAGATGTCCTTGAAGAGGCAATGTGGTACTGTAGGGGGGACTTGAACATAAGGAGAACAGAGTTCCTGAACCTTCTCTGCACAGAAAGGACTTCTTACAATCACCTGGGTTTTCACTTAAAATTGAATTTATTAAGATTACAAATTCCAAAACCTAGCTTTCTTGAAGCCTCGAACTTCAATCTATAAAGCATATTGCTTGATTCATAAATCAAGTGATTTTTATCTAAACAAAAAGATAATCACTCTACCTGTTCTGCAACAGATGTTTTACTAACTCGAGTTAGATAGGTTAAGAATAGGCTTATTTGGGGGCCGGCCCCGTGGCACACTCGGGAGAGTGCAGCACTGGGAGCGCAGCGACGCTCCCGCCGCGGGTTCGAAATGGCCAGTGCGCTCACTGGCTGAGCGCGGTGCAAGTGACACCAAGCCAAGGGTTGCAATTCCCTTACCAGTCACGAAAAAGACAAAAAAACAAAAAAAAAGAATAGGCTTATTTTTCAAACTCAGTTACAACTCCTTAAACATTTGAAATACTTTTATACATTTAACATATTAGATTTTAAAATACTTCTAATGCTGACAGGCAGGTTTAAATCCTAGCCAGTAAAACTTTCTTGAACAATTTTTGTAAATCTAATGAATGTATAAATATAGAAACATTCAAGTTCTCTTAAACAGTTTAAACTCTTTACAAATGAAGTCGAACATGTCTTGACTCTGGTAACTTAAAGCCACAAGTCTCAAATTAATTGTACATTTATATGGAAGCCACACAGCTAATCTTGCAGTATCTCCTGTACACCAGAGTCTCTTAAACTTTAAACACACTGAGATTAGCCTCAATTTAACCTTCAAATAATTAATACTCTGGGTGTTTGTTCTACTTCATTCCCTCTAATTATATCTCATTGTCGTCTCACTTGCCCAGCTAAAAGGGGAAGAGGAGGTATAAATGTATTATCTCGGATGGACTGTAAAAGGTTAAAAACTGTGGAACCCTGGTTCAGTTGCCTATTGCATGGAGATCAGAGACCAGGATACATTGTCTGAGTGGCATAAGCTTCTGGGATCATCCTGCCTGATCCAGACAGACCCTTAAAACTCTAGATCAACAGCCTTCAACTGAGGTTCGTGTTGCAGTCTTAATCTCTGGCATTCTTCAGTTCCAGTCTTTTCTTCAACAAACTTGAGTAGATGAAATGTGCACCCTCACCCCACTTCCTCCAGAGTTTCCTTATCTGACTTTGATGACGTTCTAACAGTGGTGCCCACTGAGTGCTCAGCATTTTCATTTTTATCTCTAGCAATTCTCACCATAACCCTCCAAGATGAATACTTCTTGTTGCCGTTTTGCAGATGAGAAAAAATGAGGTTTAGAGGAGTTAATTGACTTGTCAATATAATGAAAGGCTTAGCATTTATTCTGAGACCTGTCCACATCCACATTATCATATTTCATGTTGAATTCTTTCCCCACTATTCAGTTTCAAGGTTTGGTTTGGTTTGGTTTTCCTGTCTCAGATCTTCTTTTATTATCAGCATCCTTTCTTTTACACACACTTTCCTAGGATCCCATTGTACCTGCCAGCTTCATATTTAAATCTCTTTACATTTTCTCATGGCAAGAAATAAGAGCTTTAAAAACAAGTTAATAATAAGTCTGACTGTGCTAATGAAACTTGACATGGAAAGTGAAATGTCCAGGAGGAATGACGATGTCATTTAAATTCTCCTAAAATGAGAGGCAAGTTTATTAATGTCCCTTCTATCACCACCTTTCATACTCATTCGTAACTTCTTTTCTTCAGAAAATTATGAGAAAAATAACCTGGCTTTAGTTTTATGCAACAGTGATAAATATCTCACTGGACTACTGGCTGTTAATCTGGCAATGAAAATGTAACCAAAGGTTTGCAAGGGCTCAGAATGATTTTATCTTGGTCGTTAGGAACTATATTGTATGTAACATTGTGTTTCTTTTTCTTGCAGACAGATGAGCTTAAAGGAATTAAGTGAGGTAAGTAGCAATTTTGTCCTGAGAAACAAGGAAGGGGATGTTTGTGCATTGTCTATGATGGGCAAGATTCTATTTGCTTCAGATACTTTATCACACTTAATTCTCACAATAGAACGCTCAGAATGCATTATTATCCTTATTTTAAAGGTGAGAAAACTAAAAACAACTTAAGATCCAGATTTTAAGCCAAGATCTTACCTTCCACCACCTCCATTCAGTGTTCACTGGTGCAGTGAAGACCGTGTTAGTCCCACATGAAAGTCACAAAGCCTCCACTGACAGCTTCCAATGTCCAGCATTTCAGGAATAAAATGTTGGAAATTGTTTTCTACAATTGACATTGAGTCTGTTCTTCACAGGAAAGACAGGAGTGCAGAGTAGAAGGGATACAAGATTCAGAGTCACACAGACCCGGGTTTGAATCCTGTTCACCACCTACTAGTTTTATGAACTTCGGCAGGTGCCCCCACTGCCTCGCTTTCTGTCCCCTCAGCCATAAAATAGGGATGGGTACAATTCTTTGCAAAGTTTTTGTGATAAAGTCAAAGCAAGTCAAAGTAAATGCACAGTCAGCCAAGTGACTGGCAGAAATTCAACAAATGGCATGAAAGGCACATGAGATGAAGCTATCGCAGAACTTCTCAGGGTGTTCACTTCCCGAAAAGGGAAGATTCCTCAAGAAGATGGTGGGTGAACTGGCGACCGACAAAAAGTCTCTGTCCAACACCACCAATGGCCTCACCTCACGCACAATAGATTCCAAGGGATTCAATTCTTGTCTTCGTATTTGACCTATGCTCTTACATCCAGACCACAGAGGTTGGTTTCTTTTCTTTCTTTCTTTTTTATTTGTTGGCTTTATGAGACTGCTAAAATCAAAAGTGGCATTTCTAGCTTGCCACTCAAACAAGACATTTATTACCTCTAATCCCTCTAATCCACAAGACAATCATGTCAAGAAGGATAACAGACATAACTTCTGGAAGAACGGAACAGCTCTGGTTCCGCAGACGACTTCACCAGGCTCACGCTCTTCTGGGAGTTCTTGGACCTCCTGAAAGCCACCAGGAAGGAGCAGGGTGGGGGTGATGCTCAGCTGCTGGGGGAATCTACACATCTAAGGTGCCAGAACCCAGGACTCCACCCCTTTCTTCCTGTGGGTGGGGCTTTTGTGTCTCAAGTAGTAGTTGGCTGCCACTCAAGTGGACATCAAGTCCATGACTCACTGGCCAGTCTGAGGGGACAACATGCCTTCCAATCACTCACAAGAAAGAATAAAATGGGGGGGGCAGCTTTAGACAGCAGGGAGTGTGCAGGACGGTTAGTTCTCTTTGCAACATTCGTTGGCATTCTGCTAGGAGTCAATATCATCTAAAGAACAACAAGGTCTAGTGGGAAAACATATCTGCGCTCCTTGTCTTTTCCCCATTGTTTGCCTGGCTGAGATTCAAGGCTGTTTCTTCATTACAAAAGCCCAAAGGGCAAATGCCATGCTTGTGTGTGTGTTAAGTGCTTGAATTTTATATTGTGGACTAGAATCTGCTCCAGCAGAAGTGATGTGCTACCTGCTCTAACTCAAATTCACATGGCACTTCATAGTTTCAAAAGAAAGTAGAGACTCACGGTCTCATCTCCTCCTCACAAAGTCCTAAGAGCAAAATAAAGACTCAAAAAGGTGGGAAACTTGTCAAAGTTCCCATAGCTGGCTGAAGATAGGGCCAGTCTCCTATACCCCGAAGTCCAGGTCTACTCCCCACAGCCGTGATGCTATGCCTTAAAAATACAGAGACACCTCTGAGCTAAAATAATAAGGAGGGAGGGAGGGAGGGAGGGGGAGGGAGAGAGGGAAGGGGGAGGGAGGGAGGAGGAAAGGGAGGGACCGAGGGAGATGATAAAGGAGGCATTACTATTTAACTTGAATATGTTTCTTTTCTAACAATAAAAAAGTTAAGGTAGAAAAACTAGAGAGAGTTCACCGCACTTTTCTAATTGCATTTGATTTTAAATTCAGAGCCCTCAAGCCAAAAATTGACGGGGTCTCAATGAAATAAAACAAGTGCTCTTCCAGAGGCTTCTCTGCAGTATTTACAGCTCTGCCTCCCGCTCCTTTGACAAGCCTGAGAACTGCTGCTGCCTCCGATTGAGCACTTTGAACTGCCAGGTTCAAAGTCCTGAGGAAGACTCAGTGGGGAGACTTTCAAACCACGCATTAGAATGGATTCATTACCCTTTCTACTTAGCCTATAGATTTGCTTTGATTTGCTATTCATAATGAAACATACGTCCTCTTTCCAGAAACCTGGGGGATGCAAGGTCTTTGAAACAAAAGGCCTTGTCTATGGGCTAGCTTCAGACAAGACATACGATGCCTCTCCAAGCAATTGTTGCTAAAGGTTTCTCACCTTTGAAGCAAATGGGAGTCAGGAGAGCTAGGCTCAGGGTCAGCTTCACCACAAGATAATGTGGGAACCAGGTAATGGCATCACCTCTCTGGACCTCATCTGTAAATCAATGGTTTGCAACATTTCATGGACTTCAGACACCTTTGATAATTTGATGAAAAATATAATAAACCCTCCTAACCCCAGGAAAGAATACCTGTATTTGTAGAGAACAAAAAGACATTTAGCTTTCTCTTTCATAAGATTCATGGGGCCATTCAATGACCTCCTCCACCCCCAGGTTAAAGTTTTTATCTAGATGATACCTGAGGTCTTCCCCAGCTGATACAGTGTATGAGACGGACTTCATAAAATTATTTGCAGTTAAATAGGCACTTCAGCAAACACTGTAAGGCTTTTTGCTTCTTCGAGGGACTCTACCCTTGAGTGGGACCCAAGGATGCAAGTCTAATAAGCATGTAGTTTCTCATAATGAAGAATGAAATGTTTGAGAAGATAAATGACTGTGTTTAAAAAGAATAATGTGAATATTTTTATGTTCACTTTATAAAATAAAAATTTTAGAACAACTATAAAGAAAAAATTAGTCTCATCACTTAAACACAATCTCTATTAATATTTTATCATATTACTTCAAATCCTTTTTTCTGCATATGCACACACACATGCATACACATGAAACATACCAGCATGTACATACATTATGGGCCCAGTTTTTATCCTGAACTTTTCATGTAACTTTGAGGCATATTTATAGTATAATCTGTTCCATTCTCTACATAAATACTTGCAATGGGCAAATATAGCACCAAAGTCAACTTAATAAGTCTCACTTATCTGGGCATGTAGATTTTTTCCAATGACTTGAAATTCTAAATAATGATGTGCTAAATGTCTTTGAAAAGAAATTGGTCCAGATTTCATGATGTTTCTTAGAAAAAGAGTCTCATCGATGGAATTACTGGGGTAAGAATAAGTATTTCTAAGGTTCTTGATAACTATGGTCGAATTGCTTCCCAGAAGAGCCAAAGCAATTTATAGTCCAATCTGCAGACTATATACTTGTCTGTTACATCACATAAACAGTATAAAAGTTTGATTTTTGCTTAGGTCTTTTGGAGAATTGTGTGTAGGTTTTTAAAAAATCTATACTAACAAAAATTTTGCCTAATCTCTACTAAATACTCCAAAAACACACATAGCCCTCTATTAAATTCTGTATCACCAGAAGTTATTCAACATTATTATTTTTTTCTTATTCAATACAGGTCCTTGGAGCAGAAAAAGGTGAATTTTTTACATGTCTTCTTACCATTCTAATGCCACTGGAATAAGCTCTGTTTCTAGATCCATAGTGCTAGTCATCATTTTAAAGGATTGATTGCGTTGAAGCCTGGGATGTATGGGTGTGTGTGTGCATGATGCTGTGCTCCTGATTCAGGACCACATAGTCCATTCCAGAGTCCTTTAGTCTAAACAAGGTGACTTAAATCAGGGATGGGCCAGAGGTCTTTCTTTAGCCACAGGCTACTGATTGAAAGGAGACACACCGTCACCCCCTACCACCTTGAAAAAGACATCATTGACCCACTGCTCCCGAAAAGCTCTTGGTGTCTTTTTGCCTCTGATGTCACCCATGAACATGCACACACACATACACATGTGCACGCTGTTGGTGTCATTGTCATAGAAGCATGCAATCCAACACTCACTCAAATCCTAAACAGCAGGATGCTACACAGGTAGTACTTTCACATCTACCTCTGAAATACTGTTCTCCATCCACTTAGAATGATGAATTATGTCCAGAGTCAAAAGACTTGGTAAGAGACGGCATAGCTCACCTAGCAACACTGGGTCAGGACCTCAGAGGCCTGCCACCAACTCACTGTGTGGTTTTGGTCAAGTTGCATTTTCTTTGTGGGTCTCAAGTCTGCTCTTCTCTATATATTGAGGAAGTTAAACTTAAAGAGGGGCTAATATGGGTTTTTGAATTCCCAAGGGTCGCTGGTGGAGGAGTGGGGGTTAGCTGGCAATTCTAAATAATTTTAAAGCCTAATGAAAATCATGCCCTTTCCCACAATAAAGGTCAACATCCTAAGTAAAACGTTCAGTGGTGTTGCATCAGCTTCAGTGATTATCAATGCAACAATGTGACATTGTTCAGTTCAAGAGGAGCAGATAGTGTGGGTAAATGACATGAAATGATTTTATGGGATGAATGATTAATGGACCAGTCACTGGCTCACATTTCAAGTAATCACAGTCTTCCAATCAAAGGTGTCCAGTTAGTGATCAATCTTGGACAGAGCACAGAGTAACACCCAAAATTCAGACATGTCAGTCTTTTCTTTATTACTTATGACCACAACTGAGACAGTGTTTTATGGGATTTGATAACATAGTATTATTATGTGCCCTTGGTAATACTGAACAGCTGGTTAAAATCTACCCATGATGAAAAGGAAATAAAAACCAGTGACGACAATGGCATGTGTAATTACTAAGTAACTCCAGTTTGTATGGTTGGCAGAACTTTTCAAACTTGATGATCAAGGGAAAAGAATGGAGAAAATGTATTTGTGGTTGTAACTGGCTGGGAACTGCTGGTTGGCATCAGAATCCTGGGGCCCCCCTGCCCTATCACAGGAGGGTAGGAGAACGCAGGTGGCATGGGCCAGCCCTGTGCTCTCCTGCATCATCCAGAACAGTTCTGTGGCTTAACTTCCTCCTCGTTGGGATCTCAGCTCCGATGTCATCTCTCAGAAAGGCCTTCCTCAGCCACACATAAATCACTCTGCATCTCAGAGTAGCACTTTATTTTCTTTATATCACTTTTACAGTCTAAAATGTTCTTATCAATCTTCTTGCATGCTTATGTTCTGTGTCCTTTTATTAGAATGTATGGACCATGTCTGCCTTCTTCTCCACTGTGTCCCCAGATTCTGGCAGAGATAGTCCTGTAGTAGGTGTTCAGTAAATATTTATTGAATGGTACGAATGAATAAGAATGAAGCTAAAAAATTTTTTAAATTAGCTGGTCTAGAATAATCCCTAAAATGCCTTCCAGAGTAATATTCTGTATTTCTGGAAAGTTCAGTGATGTGTTCAAGACTGTAAATGTTGAAAGCAGTTTTTACAGCCTCAGGGAGAAGTCATTCTCAGGAACCTGGACAGTCGTAGAACACGTGGGTTACAGTTTCCACCGACCACCGACAGCCTCTTCCTGATAATCAGAGATTACTTGGATGAAATTATAGTACTTCAGTGGACTTCTAATGGCCCTTGATCATCTTTCTCTTGTAACCTGACTAAATTATGTCACTCCTTCACACAGTTCCTTATCACCAGATGAAGCCTGAATCATCTCACCTGTCACAAAACCAAAATACTCAAGACATTCCACTTGCCATGACCAGGTAAGGAGCCAGGAATTCCAGCCCGGGGTCTGGGCCATATGCTGTCTCAGATAATGATCACCAGGACTTCCTGAGAAACAGGAAAAATCCTTGGTCTTTGTTTCTGAAGCCTGATGATGAAGACCAAGGGAAACTTGTGACTCACAGCAGTTGTTGAGTCTAATATGAGTAATGTGGCTCTTTCTGCAACTTATAAGTGATTGATTGAGTGTTAGAGAAGTTTGGGGGACTTTAAAAATTGAATATTAACTGGATAGGATTAACTGGAATAGATGCTAATCAATTTGGGAGGAAAAAGTTCATTGTTTCTAACTATTCTCAGTTGATGACCACACCAAAGCTTATAGTTAATTTTGAGCAGCATTTTATAGATGGCCAGGTGCTGAAAGTGACATTATCTGATTAAATATCCGCTTGATCGGGTTACTATGACAACTGTTAACCCATCTGAAGAACTGAAGGAGCTAAAGCTCAGGCAGGTAATTCACCGAGCAAGGTCACTTTAAGTTAGTAGTGGCTTCCTTCGAGCAAAAGCCAGGTCCTCCAAAACTAGTGCTATCAGGCCTTCGTGATCCCACTCAGGCCAGTGGGAGCCAATCTTTGTTCACGCCACTGTTGCCTCACTCTCCGCAGGCAGCCTCATCAGATGCCCCAGCTTCCACGTTGTCACTTAATGCAGGACATTTGCATGTGCTATTCCTCTGCTATAACACTTCCCCCACACCTGCTCCTCTCCCTACTTGGAAAACTCCTACTCATTCATCAGACCCTAGCTTAAAACCAGGCTGAATCCAGGAGATAGTTTGTATCCATTCCCCAGGAGGAAAAAAAGACCCGAGAGACTGAGTCCTTTTTCATTGAAGTCAAGACCAGCCTCAAAGCCCAAGCACTTTTCAGTAGCCCACGCTGCCTATAATGACTTTATTCTAAAAGCACAGCACATGAATCCTGACTCTCTCTGGTGCCTGCCCATGGCTAGAATGCTGCCTTTTATTTACTCAATAAATATTTACTGGGAATGCCCCATGTTTGTGGCAGAACAGAATAGTGGTCAGGCAGGACCTACTGGAGTCAGACGGCCTGACTTCTTCACAATGAACCGTGTGACTTGGACAACGTCACTTTCTTACACTGGAAGCTTTGAGCAGAGCCAGACATGCTGCAAGAGCCCAACACATGCTGGCTGTCATTGCTGTCGCTGGGCCCTGCACATCGAGGCACGGCCACCATCCCCATTCCCTTTCCCTGCTCACTTTCTTGGTTTTTCTATTTTGCATCGTGAGGAACTTCGTTCTTACTCTTTGGCCCGTGGGGATCAGGACCGTGGCTTCATAGCTCTTATTAGGCCTCTGCTTAAGACCCGATCTGTACAAGACTCTTCCCCGTATCACAATATAATACTGTTTCTTAATGCAATCCTCTAAATGGAAAGATTGTAGTGAAAGATAGTGAGCTTTTCAGTTGGACTCATATCCGTAGTAGTAGCTTGATGTGATTTCAGCTTGTTTGTTTAATTTATTAAACAATATCTTCTGATGTTTCCTTCTCTCTTAACTACCTGCTTCTCATAAGACTCTTTGAAATTTTATTCCCAAACTGACCTCTAAGTGTTAGGATTCCTCAGAGTTCATCTGAGGTCCTCTTTTCTATCACTAAAGGCCAGGGCAATCATATCCATCCCTAGTGTCAAATGTCAGCCCCATGTTGACAATTCCCAAATCTCCATCTTCTGCCCGAACCACCTCTCTCAGCTCCAGACCCATATATGCAGTCTCCCAGTGGACAGTTTTCCTTTAGCTAAGCCATAGGCATCACACTCATAATGCAGAAAATTGAACTTTTCGTTTCTGCTCTCATTCCTAAACCAACCATATCCTCCCACAAACTTTCTCACCTCAGTAAATGATAAGATCTCTTTTTCACCTTCACATTTCCTATGCAATCCATTTTCTTTCTTTTCTTTTTTCTTTTTTTGGACCAGTAAGGGGATCGCAACCCTCGGCACAGTGTGGTCTGCACCACGCTCAGCCAGTGAGTGCACCGGCCATCCCTATACAGGATCCGAACCTGCGGCCTTGGCGCTACCAGCACCGCACTCTCCCAAGTGAGCCACAGGGCCGGCCCTATGCAATCCATTTTCAATTCCAAAAATTGTACTTCCATAACATGTCTTGAATCCATCCATTTCCCCAGCACTCAGCACGGACCAGCCGCCATCACCACTTGCCTCAACTACTGCAATAGCCATCTAATGATATTGATCATCTCTATGCTCTAAGGAAAGTACTCAGAAGGAAGTACTTTCTGGTCTCTTGCAGAATAGGCCATGTTTTCTGGCCTCGGAGCCTTTGCACATGCTGTCGCATCTGCCTGGAGCATATTCATTCTCCTATTCTTCCTTCAGGGTTCAGCTCAGTTAGCATTTCTCCTGGGAAGCCTTTTCCAAGAATCAAAGAATTTTTGTCTGGGTTAAGTGACGCTCTACCACCACAGGAACTTATGCTATGCACACCTTTACAGTGGCTTTTACCTTACATCATGGTTATGGAACAGCTGTGTCCTCCCTCCATAACCTGAGCTTCATTAGGGCAGAGGCCATGTGTTAATCATTTTATCCTCCCCAGAACATCCCACCTACCTAGTAAGTGTTCAACACCTATTTGGTGGATGAACGGATCATCGTTTTTATTTTAGTTTTAGTTGTTTTGGGTGTTTTTTCTTTTTCTTTTTTCTTTCTTTTTTGCTTCTATCCTTACAAATTGTGTACTTTAGACCTAGAATATCCTCAGAAGCTATGCCTGTTCTTTCAACATTTTCTAAAAATCTGGAAAATTGACAGCAAAGAAATTTTGCTTTTCATTATTGTTTCCCAGACATTTAACAAAATTGTACACTGGCTTCTAGTACAGGGATCCTGGTTTTAAGAGTCAAAAGCCTGGATGTCAGTAGAAGTCTAACCAGTGTTGCTGGGACAATGTGGTGACTAGATGATCAGCCAGTATTTTCTTCTACAAAGCAAACAGTAAGACCCCAGGCTTTCATGGAGATAACAAAAAACACATATACACAGTTGATTTTATTGGTGCCAGGAAAGGGTCCAATTTCATTTAATTAACCCAGAGGCTTTAGTCAATAGCACAATCCTTGGTATACAGCAAGTCCTGTGTAATTAGATTTAACTGTAAGAGCACCTGGAGCTTATACTGAAGATGTTTACCACAATGCAAAATGATCCAGAAAATTTGAGCTAAGTGCTAAGTAAAGCCATTGATAACAGTCTTGGTAAAATCATTTTTGTGTTTAGAAATGCATATCATTATTTTTATGGTTTTATATTACATTTTTATAATCCCTTTTATTTATGGATTTCCTTATAATCCTCCACAAAGTTTTCTCACCCAACTCACATTTCAAGAAGGAATAAAGTGATTTTTATACTCTTCTTCCTTGCTTTGCCTGACTCTTCTTCAATAAGTAAACAGTTTCTATAGAATATGAGCCCCAACCTGCCAAATGTTATTTTCTATAGTGACTGTAACCACAACATAAGTCTAAACTCATGGTTTCCAAAAGTAAAGAATCATGACATGTGCTCACTGAAATGACGACATGTGCCCACTGAAGTGCCATGGAAAGAACTTACAGGGGTCAATTTGTTCCACATCTAATATTTGCCAGTTTTGAGAAAGGAGGAGGGCAAGCCTTCCAGTGCCTTACACAACAAACGATTCTTTTAGTGTACTCAGTAAAATGTAAAGTGCTGTATAAATGCAACTTCAGGCCATTATCGTTAACCTTGCTTTGGAGTAGAGTTTTATCCACCAAAGGAAATGCTAACATTCTTTCAATTCTTGCATTTCCTTTAGCTCTTCATTCATGACGAGCAACCCCGGTGTTCAACACAGAGGTAAGAGCCCTTTAAGTGAGAATAATAAATAAACATGTAAGTCATTATACTGTGACATTTCTGCATTGTGACTTAATTTTTGTGAACCTCAAAGTCACTTAGTTGATGTGTATAAATGTAATTAGCTCATTTTCATTGACAGATAGTACAGGTTGAGTATCCTTTACCCAGAATGCTTGGGACCAGAAGTGTTTCAGATTTGGGAATATTTGCAGAAATACATACTGGCTGAGCATTCCAAATTCCAAATTCCAAAATTCCAAATGCTCCAATTAGCATTTCCATTGAGCATCATGTCAAGTTCTCAAAAAGTTTCAGGTTTGGGAGCATTTCAGATTTCAGATTTTCAGATTAGAGATGTTCAATCTGTATTCCACTATGTTAATATGGCATAATTTTGATCCATAATTAATGTGATCACTTAGTTTTTAGTGTATTTTGCTATAAACATTATTGTGTTAGGAACATTATTGTAGTTTTTTTCCATGTACACAATATGATAATCTCTTTCTAACAGTGAAATGCTACATCTTAGGATCTGCATGTCTTTAGTTTTCCTAGATGTATTTTCCAAAGTACACACACCAATTAGTCTCACCAACAGTTTATGAGTCCCCCTTGTTTCCCATCCTCTCCAGCAGTTGTTTCTGACAAACTTAGTTTTTCCTAATTCATGGAGTATAATATAGATTTATCTCAAGAGAAATATGTGAAATGCAGAAGATAAAATTTACCCCTCTTACCAATTGATTGTGAAAATAAAAATCAGAAGGTTACCACATTTGTAGAGGGTCTAAAGCAGCATATAAATATAGTATTATATTACTGTTAGTGGTGGGTTTTGACACTATTCATATTACAGTATTTTGCCCAAATTAAATCTGTCATGTTCATTTGTCTTTCTTTCTTTGCTCTATATGCCATGGAAGTTCTGTGTTCTCGTCTAGCCCCATCATCTCTCTCTCTTGAGCCAGAAAAGAGGGCTTAGGGCTGCAGGAAGCAAAACATGTGGGGTACAGTGGAAAGGATGAGAGCTCTACTGACCTTGGTCCCAATTCTGCCTCTTTTCCTACAAGAGGATCGCCTTGCGCAAGTTACTTCATAGAGCTTCACCCTCCACCATCCGTAATGTTCAAATGACAATAATATTAACTCACGTAGTAATATTAATATAACATACATATGCACACACTCCCTCTGCTTGACACCTAGTAGGCAACTAATACATTTTCTATCCTTCCTTCTTTCCTGCACCCCCATTCCTTCTTCCTACTCAGCTGACCTCAGTAGATCTAAGGCAGCTTCCACAGCCTCCACCACGCTCTCATTTCCCTTCTGCCATGTACAATGTGGGCCTGAGGTTGGAAAACCAGCTTGATAAACTCATCTCCCCTATGTACACATTGCCAATAGGAGTTTCCTGGAAGAGGGCTGCTTTTATTAAAAGATGGCCAAAGAGGTCTGTGATTCATCCAATGGACTCCATCCCTAGGAATCAAATGTCAGAAATAACAGTCCTAATGATCAGATCTGCATGTACAAAGATGAAAGATTTGGAGCATCTAGGTGGAAGGTCCAGGTGCTGAATGGGTCCAGAAAGGGCATTTTACTAATGCTGCAGGGATGATAAAGTAGAACTATAACTTAGAGAGGAATCCAGAGTCTTAACTTGACAGACAAAATCATGCACAAATCAAAAATAAGAACCAATTAAAGAATGAAATAAAAGTGCTAGTGAAGAAGATGGCCTTCACAGATGGGAGTCCAGTTGAACATCATTTGTACTGTGGTCTTGTAGATTGTTCCCAGTTCATTTCAGAGGAGGCAGGGCTGCGTAAAGAAGCCTGGGATGGACAGGGGAAATGTTAATTCTTCTTTCAGCCAACAAACATCCACTAAGCACATGGTGTCTACCCAAAATTGGGCTGGGCCCTAAAAATACAGAATAAAGACAGCCCCACCCTTCTACTAACAGTGCTGAAGCACCTTTGACATTCCTTTGTCAACTTTTTGAACTTTTTAAAATTTTTGAATTTTTTCTATTGGGTAAAAATTCATCTCTGGATCACCAGAACTTGGCGATATTGGGTGTACAGAAAACAACACACCACCTCTGTGCTCATAGAATTCTAAGTCTCATGGGCTCTCTGAAGCTTATTGGTTTTGGCTTGAATGCCTCAGGTGAGGGCATTCATGTACAAGAGTAAATCTACATCGCTACGAATGCAAATATTATTATCCTTACTTTACAAATGAGAAAAGAATGAGTTATTCTTGATAGTTCAGTTACTACTTTAGAAACAGACTTGGCTCCAATTTTCTGATAAATGAATTCAAGCTAAACTATTAGGAGCCTAAGCAAATGGATCTCAGGATGTATATATAGATATATATATACACACACGCACATTTTTATGTGTTGGAAGAGGGTCCAGAAAGGTTTGGTTATACTCCAAAACAGCAACAGCATTATTCTCTAAGTCTGGAATTATAAATGATTTGTTTTCTTTTTAGTTTGTTTTTAGTTTTTGTCCGCTAATGTTTTCTTTTTCTTTAAAATATATGCCTTTTTTTAATAAAATTATTTCTTTAATTGTAAGAGTAAATTAAAATTTTAGAATAAAAATGTATGAGATACTTGCTTAAAATAAAATACTCTGAAATTTTAACAACTGAAAGGTCTAGATCTAGCTATTTTTCTCTAATAATATTAGCAACACTGGCAGCTAGCATTTACAGAGTGGCTAGTATGGATCAGGCACTGTGCTAAGAGTTTTATCCACGTAAGAATTTTTACTTTTATTATTATTTTTTGTCTTAACAATGAAGACCCTCGTTTTCATCTTTTTTATTATTTTTTAAATTTATTTTTATTAGATATTCATTGTTACAAATCATACTTATTCTTTACACCCCTTATCCAGTTTCTCCCCTTCCCCTTCCTCATATAAGAATTTTTAAATAGTAGTACTTATTGATATCAGTATGATTTTTCAACCCAGGTCTTTTTTATTAGGCTACCCTGCTTCAGGGTTTTTGACCACCTACACTGTTCTGGCCCCAGTGTTCTTCTGTTTGCCTGTGTCAATCTCTTTATTTCTCATTCCTCTATTCTCTAAGGAGAAAAGTCCTATTTCATGGGGCTATAAAACTCAAATTCAATATTTCATGTAAGAAAAATTTTCCAAAGATTAGCTGCTTTCATTGTTTTAGAACAAAATCAATTAAATGCTTATAGCAGGTTACATGCCCAGAATTTCATTCAACAAAGATCCAAGCAGGCCTTCAGGGGAAAATTGCATGGCAAAGTTGTTGGTTTTGTTTAGTTTCATTTAACTCCTGTGAATGGACTACAAAAGCATAGCTGTTTCCAAGCGCTCTTTTTTCAAGTAGGACTTTTTAAATATTCAAGCAAGGCACTCAGGGTTGAAAAAATAATAAATCAGTTGCCACAATACCATGAAAAAGTCACAATCACTGAACACTATTATGTATGCAATACAAACTAAGTGACAGGAAATGCTGATAATGGTTGTTATCTTGTCGAAGGGATGTTTTTATTGTTTCAATTCATGTTGAAAAGATAGAGTTATGCCTATTTAAGTAATAACCTTTGGCATACTGCTTCACTATAATTTAAAATAAAGTTTTAAAGTCAATTTTATTTTACATTAGTCTAGGTCTGTTAGCTTGCTTAAAATTACCAACATATTTACAAATGTCTTTGCTTGGTATTCTTCCTTAAAATTCAATTTGTCCTTATGGTCTAAATGTTATGAAATTATTTTTTATCAGTTTTTACTATAAAGGCATGCAGTGGAAATATGTTATTTTGGTTGGAGCATATACAGAAAATACCATATCAAAATTTGACAAGTGGTAGTATCTTAAAGCTTAGATGCCAAGTGAAATCAAAACCCTATCATGAAATTTTGTGTTCTGTTACTTAAAAATCCATTGGTCTGTCTTGCACTGGAATTAATATTTTACCCAGGCACAATTTTGTTATCATCATGCACTGGCCACTTGGAAAATAATGGTTCACAGACTTGAACAGATATTCCAATATTAACATATGCTAATATAAAACATTCTTTAAAAATCACATTTGCAAGTAATATCACCAAACTCGTTAGAAAAGTCGACCTATTATTGACAAAAGAAAAGAAAAGTCGGCCTGTTGGGATGCTGTTATGTCACCATGGCAAAGCAAGCTTTCCCAAATTCCAATTTGCACTTACAAAGTCTAATTTTATAATTGCAACGAATACTGCCCCTTGTTTTCCATGAAGCGACAATCTCACTTTGTTCATTTTTTATGAAATACCTGCCAAATATCCAAGTGTGAGTAACCATAGGTTGCCTATCAGTCATTCTTCCAGGTTAAAAAAGTGACGTTCCATTTTTTTTTTAAAAAGTTATTCTTCATATTAAAAAAAAAAAGACGTTTTCTGAGTTGGGAACAAGCTTGGCACATTCATGAAATTGAACAGAGTGTACGATGGGGAACAGATAAGGATGAGGATGGAGAAATGAGAAGAGACAGGCCAGTCCAGGCCTTATGAACAAAACGAAAACATTTAGGTTTGCTTCCAGGTGGAAAGAAAATCCTGGAAGGATTTTCACCAGGGGGAGTAGCAAAATCAGAGTTACATTTTGAAAGATTACTCCGGGTCCCCTTAGGAAAGAGAGGGGAAGCGACTAACGCTGAAGCAAGAGGGGCTTCAATCACAGAGGGAGATGATGTGGTGCAGACCCAGAAGGTCACCCCAGACACAGGCAGGAGGGACCAGCACCAACTCCATGCCGGAGGGAGACCATCTGAGACAAAATCATATTTAAATGTGAATTGACTCTTCCAGATCATAAAAGAAGCATGCAGTCCTATTCTCCTCAGAGATGCCAGTCTCCAGCCAACTACAGCCGTCATGAAAATATGCCACCCTATAAAAATACAAGCTGGAGAAAACCTACCCCCACGAGGTCTCATGAAAAGGTAAAACAGACACTTCTCCTTATCTAAACAGAGCTTTATGGAACAGTGCCCAAAAGGAGATTATTATGTTTGGTTTTATTTTTGTCTTCCTTTTGGCTCTATATTGTAAGGTTTTAATATTTTTTAGAGTGTTTTGTTGTGTATTATATTGCTCTTTCACCAGATTCTTTAACTTGTGTATTTCCAGATTCTCATTGGTTTTTTTCCAATAATCCAAAAAATATTTTATTTCTGTTTTTTTAATAGAGACATTTATTCCTGTGTTTTATATTTATGGGATGTCAATAATCTTGTGGGAAACTAACTAGGATTTACATATTGCAATTCTTTTTCCAAGTAAAGATCTACCTGTCACATACTCATTTCAGTTGACAGTCTGATTACCATTTATTGAGCACTTGCTACACTCCAGACAATGTGCTAGAGGTGATGGTTCCTGCCCCAGAGGAGACATAAACAGCAGAGAAATGCAAACATGTGACAGATGTTTTCTTGTTTGTCTTTCATCAATTTCTGGTCTCTTTGTACATTACACTCCACCCCTATGATTAGTTCTTCTTAGACCATTTTGTACTTACATTTACCTACATCGGAGGATAAATCTTCCATTGTGTCTTGTTTGCTCTTCCCTCCATCACCTTGGGACATTACTTATTAAAGTCTGTCATTATAAATCACTGGAGGATATGCAGCTTCTGGGTCTATATCCCGTATCCTGCTATTACACAGTGTCCTGCTACAGAGCTTGCAAAGGTTTACAAGTGGAAGCAGAGCATATAGGATATCCCTAGTCAATTCCTTATAATTCCTACAGTATCCTAAAAGTCTTTTGTTTTCTTTATATTTATTTCAATCTCTACCAATTTCTAAAAGGCGTCTCATACATTTAAGTTAGACTCTGAAAAGTCTTTGCACATACTTCTTTCATGGCGCTTTTCCTTGCACCTGGCTTCCTTTAGTTCTGCCACCTTCTTCGTGAACACCGTGACCCCTGGGTTCTAACTGGATGTCTACCAAGATCAGCCCTTCTCAGAGCTGGGGACTCCTCACAGGCATGAGCGCAATTTGGACTAGATCAGGATTTCCCTAACTTCAACTATTTGAATACATCTTTATGATTTGTGACATATTCATGTACTATCAATAATAATATTTACTTAATGATATATTTTTAAGTTGACTGTTTTTGCTTTCAAATAAAGAAAAACAATATTACGTACCATTGACAGAAAGTAGCCTTAAGAGTAATTGCAGCATTCCACACCTGAGTAGGTTTATGCTGGGAGAACCAGAGAATCTAATTAAGAGACCAAAGACCTGACATCATATCTCTAACTCTTGCCCACCATGTGACAGATTTTGATTTCCTGAGCCTCTGCTGTCCATTTGTCACTAGGGTGAACACTATCTGACATGCCTACTTCACAGCAATAGGGGTGTATTGAGATACTGAATGAGGAAGGGCCTTGTAGCTGTTGAACTCATGTAGGGGGGTATTTATTTATGATCTTTGGAACCCTGGGCAGGCATCGCAGGTCCATGGTACATCTCTTCCCTTTCTTCTCCCTGTTATGGTGGATTGTGTAATCAAAAGAACTTAAAATCATTTAACATTGGTATGAATAAGGCAGCATGACACAAGGAGAAAGGCAGACAGACAAGGGTTCAAATCCAAGCTCTGCCATATCTGACTCCAGGCAAGTGATATAAAGATGCTCCTGCCTGCACCTGTCTCTCCCTCCCTGCTGTTCTCATGAGGACTGTGGCAGCACAGGCTTTACAAATAATATTCATCCACTTTCGGCAGGTGTAGATTCAGAAAGCATTGATAGATGGAGGGTTTATTATCTATTCTAAAGGTAGTGCCGAAGGACCTTTTTCAGTGGATGGACTGTCATTTCTGGTTACTTCCAATGACAACTTCAGAATTCTCCAGCTGCAGTGACTTTTTTCTGTGTTCATTTTCCGTAAGCATCTGTGGGCTTCTCCGGATTCAAGGACTAAATTTGATGTACTGAATATCTACTACAAATTAAACTATGATTGGACACCATTGAAACAAAACTAAATTTTGAATTAGTTAATCAATAATTAGGACTTCCCTTTGGCCCTAAAATATTCACTATTGAACCTGTACTGCAGGATGTCCAGCACAACGAATGGTACATTGGAGAATACAGTCGCCAGGCCGTAGAAGAGGCATTAATGAAGGAGAGCAAGGTAACGCCTTCTATAGTCATCTGGTGGTTTTCTCCTCATAGGTCATAGGACATAACAAGCTGTGTGCTTTGATGCAGTGGTTCCTGCATCACCCTGTATTTCTAAGTGTTGGGGAGGTTTTAATTGAAAAGGAGATTTAAAAATGGAGAGTTTCAGCTCTGAGGCTTGGTTGTACCACTTACCAGCTATTTGGCTTTCTCAAGTTCCTAAGTTCCTTTATGTGTAGGTTCTTTATTCACAAAATGAAAAACAGTAAAATCAACCCTAAGGAACTATTTTGAAGGTCACATGTGGAAGCTGGAGAATAGAGGTCACAAGGGAAGGTGCTCACTTCTTTCTTCAAGTTTCATCCCCTTACTAAACGTCTACCCAAGATACAGTTGGGTCTTCATGACTTAGTTCTTCAGGAAAGGAGCAGAGATTGTGAATGCAGTAATAGTCAGCATATCATAGGTTATGCTGCAGTAATAAACAACCCCAAGGTCTCAGCTGCTTAGCATAACAAAGCTTTATTCCTTGCTTGCACTCTATGTTCAAGACAAGCTTGGGTGGGTAGATCCAGGCTGCTGGAGGCTCTGTCTCAATGGTGTTCCTCTGCCATCAAACTAAGGCTCTTAACACATCCTCTCAGAAGTAACCTATGTCACCTCTGCTCCCCTATCAAAAAAGTAAGTCACACACCAAACCTAACTTCAAAGGGGGTGGGGAGATACAAACCTACCACATAACCAAAAAGAGAGAATAACTGGACTACTGTGATCAAGTCAAATAACTAATCATCACCACAAAGAGCAAACAATTATTAAGCAACTACTATGTACAGAGAACTATTCTAGATTGTTTAGAAGGTATGGGAAGTCTCTCAAAAGTAATGCAATATCAAATTTATCTTTAACTAACCAGGAGAATGTTTACAATTAAGTGAGAAAATACAGAAATAAATGAATGAATGAGTTAGTGGATGGGTGAATAAATGATAGGTCACTAATAAATTTAATAAAACCTAGCTCTCAGAATTGATGTTGTAAAGTTAAATAAAATAAATTATATGTAACTTGCTATAGTAAAAAGAATAATGCCCCCCAAAAGATGTTCATGCCCTAATACTCAGAACCTGTGAACATGTCATATTACATGGCAAAAGGGACTTTGTAGGTGTGATTAAATTAAGGGTCTTGAGATGGGGAGGCTATCCTGGATTATCTGTGTGGGTTCAATATAATCAGAATGGTTCTTATAAGAGGAAAGCAGGAGGATCAGAGTCAGAAAAGGAGATGTGATAATAAAAGTAGAGGTCAGACTGATGGGGTTGGAGAGGGGGAGATCACAAGCCAGCAACTCCGGTAGCCTCCAGAAACTGAGAAAGTCATGGAAACACTCTCCCCTATTGATGTCAGCCCAGTGAGATCCTTGTTAGACTTCTTACCTCCAGAACTGTAAGAGAATAAATTTGCGTTTTAAGCCACTAAGTTTATGACAATTTGTTATAGCAGCAGTAGGAAACTGAGATAGCTGCTAACAAAGTATGTTAAACATATAAGAAATAAATGAAATTATCCCATTACCCAGATGAAGAAACTGAGGCTAAGCCAAGGTCTTGTTCACAAAGTGGAGAAGGTGGCAGAACCTGTATTCAAGATCAGTGCTCTTAAAATCACAGCGGCCTCTAACAGCCATCACGGTTATTTCCACACGGGATGGGGAGCCATGGGTGGCTGGCTTGTGCCTTTTCCATGGGATCCAGCCGTGGCTGGCCTCTGCCATGGTAGAATGGCAAGCACAGGGTGGTAGGCTTCAACCTTGGCTCCTCTTCCTGGATAGTCAGAGCCAAATGACCCTGTTTCCAACCAAAAAAACTGCTCTTAGAAGATCTGCTTTCAGGAGCTATGTGTGGATGGTCCTGGAAGAGCAACATGCATGTCACCTGATGTCCTCCAGCGATGTCTCGGCACTCAGTGAATGCTCCCTTCCTCTCCCTTCCCTGGGCCTGTTTCTGCCTTTTGCACTGAGCAAACAAAGTCTTGGTTGAAAGACTTCATAGTTTCCTTTTTGTGGGTCCTGGTTAGTTTTGTCAAAAATGTGTTTCCCATTTATAAAAGATAATTTAATTTAAATTGCAGGATTGCCCAGATTCATTTTAACAAATTCATTGCAGAGTTTAAGATGATAAACCCCCAAACTGGCCATGAGTCTTGGCCTGGTCTCCTTTTCTGACCTGTGGCAATGTTTCATGCTTCAGTATTAAGGCTTCAAGTATGGCTGAGCATTTTAGGCAGAACAAGTGCCAGAACATTCCTCAGTCCCATTTGATATATTCAGAGGCTGGTGTATTGAAAGGCTGGGTTTGACTTGTAGGTATTTCATTTACTAATTGTTATGCTTTTGGGGAGTCACTTAAGATATTAGACTCTAATTTCCTTATCTGTAAAATGGGAATAAAATACCTGCCTCAAAGTTATGTAAAGATCAAATGTATGTAAAATGCTTGGCAATTCTCAATGCACCTTAGCTGCCAGCATCATCATAACATCACTATAGTGTCACTTATAAATTTAGTATATTTATGTATTACTAGGTACTGTTATATAGGTTTATACCATTATTATATATATCTATAAATATTAATTACAGATAATATAAAACTATATACAGATATTATATATAATCTGCACCTACATGATAGATATTATAATCTATATAGAGATATTATATAGAATTATTAAAATATAAATTATCTATAATCCCTGTTCTTTATAGATCACTTATAACCATCTATGCAACAACTCATACAATTACAATTACAAATTCATCAGTATTTTTCATCATGTAAATGACACACAGTAACCACAAACTAAGCCTGTAGGCGTGTTTATGTTCAGGAGGATTGTGCCATTTCTCAGCCTTTTACAGCTGGACCTTCATTCTGAGCTATTCCCCGGAGTGCGCCTGATTATTTCTGATCTGTGGCCCATTCTCGGTCCTAGGACTATTTGACACTGTTGACTTTCCTTTGGAAAACCTCACTCACCGCTCTTTGGCTCCTGGAGCACTGGAGCTTCTGATTCTCCTCCTCTCTGATTTTTTAATTCCTTTCCTGTCTCCTCTTTCTTCCTTGCTCTTGTCTTTGTCTGACCCCAGACTAGATTTCCTCCCCCCTCATAGGGTCTCTCCACTCGTTCTGATATCAGTGACTTCAAAGCCCCACCCCTCTTTCAAGGACCCTAGTCCCACATGAACACCTCTCCACAGAGAAGTCTAACTTATTAGGTTAAACGCTTCTCCTGTTCAAAGCCCGCGGTGGCTCCCACTATCTCTAGAATGATACCTGAGCATCAGGCAGAACAAGAAATAGTGTGACCATCAAGGGTTGAAGAGGAACATGCCACTAAAGGGGCAAGAGGTGGGTTTCATGCAGAAAGGGTAGCTCACACAAAAGCTGGAAGCCACAAAGTAGATGGTGCCTTCAGGAAATAGTGGCTGGCCTGCAGCCAGGACTCAGGAGCAAGAGGCAGGAGGCTGCACTAGAGATGAGAGATCAAACCACAAGACAGGTTAGTACCTTTATCCACGAACCTCATGCCAAGGTTGTAGGCATTACAGCACGGTCAGTAGGGGATGATAGAAGATTTGGAATAAGGGAGTGTCATGATGCAACTGGCACACATCTCAGAAAATAACAAGAACTCTTGTACTACAGACACTCTATAAAAACTTAATAAATTGAGTTGAATAAACAACTGCTTTGCTAAAAACTAACCCCATGTGGGAATCTCAAGCATGCCAACATTATTGTTGCCACCCCTGGAAGGGCAGGACAATGGCATGCCTGTAGACGATGCTCATTAATCGTTTTGCTTCAGGATGGTACTTTCTTGGTCCGAGATTGTTCCAGAAAATCCAAAGCAGAACCCTACGTGTTGGTGGTGTTTTACGGGAACAAAGTCTACAATGTGAAAATCCGCTTCCTGGAGAGGAATCAGCAGTTTGCCCTGGGAACAGGACTCAGAGGAGATGAGGTGCGTGTAAATTAATTGTTTCCCCTTTCCGGGCTAAAAGCAAAACATAAAGGGAAAGTTTGGAGGATACTGCTCAAGTCCTGTCTCCATATTCCCCAGACTACTGAATAGGAGAAAAGAGTGTCACCCTGCAGGTGGAGGATGCAACCTGACCCTTTTAGCCCCTTCCAGAAACATTTTACACTTCAGCCCACCAGGCCAGCAGCCAATCCTCACCATGCCATGCACACCCACCCTGCTTTGCCTGTTTAAGAAAACTCATTCTCCAAAATGCATCTAAATTCTGCCTCCCAGGAAGTCTCTATGAATGCCCAAGCTAATGCCACATTCCTTCTTCTCAGCGCAGAACTCCCGCTGCAGGCATTTCTAGTGTCTGTTAGCATTAATTATCCTAATCACATGCAGGATTGTGCCCCCAAAATAACGTGAACTCAATCATAGCATTCGGTGCTATGTTGAGCATGCCCGTCCTCAGCAGAGGTATGCTCATGGGCAGTGAGGTGAAAGACTAAATCAATTGAAGCACTCATTAATAATGGCATAAATAAGTCAATGAGAAAGAAGAAATCATCACTGAATATGTATGTGCCAGGCCTAGTCATCTGCATAATGTGATTTTATTCCTCAAAAATTATTTGACATAATGATTGTTCCTATCTTAGATGTAGGGAAACTGAGGCTCAAAAAATTAAGTAAATGGCTAAAGACACACAGGTAATGAGAGGCTAAGGAGAGGCTGCTCTTTCAATTCTTTGTTTGATAAGGGGAGGAAGGAAGGAAGGAAGGAAGGAAGGAAGGAAGGAAGGAAGGAAGGAAGGAAGGAAATGTTAATTATGAGTCACTATTTACTAAGGACTTGAGCTCAGGCCAGTCAACTTCTCTGGGCTTTAACTTCCTCAAAGGTAAATGTTTCTTTAAAGTCTAGATTTCTATAATTCATTAATTCCATTTAGCATCTTCAGACCTCAATTTATCTGTTGGTGTGTGTTGTGACCTGAATTGTGCCCCTCCTCCCCAAAATTCACACATTTGAAGGACCTCAGAATGTAACTGTATTTGGAGACAGGGCCTTTGAAGAGGTAATTAAGGTCAAATGAGGTCACTAGGGTGAGTCCTAATCTAATAGGACTGTTTTTTTTAAAAAGAAGAGGAGATTAGGACACAGACACAAACAGAGGGAAAACCATGTGAGGACACAGGGAGAAGACGGCCAACTACAAGCCAAGGAGAGAGGCCTCAGGAGAAACCAAACCTTCCAACACCATGATCTTGGACTTTCAGCCTCCAGAATTGAAAAGAAACAAATTTCCATTGTTTAAGCTGCTCAGTCTGTGGTAGTTAGGCATGGCAGCCCTAGCAAACTGATATAGTGTAAAACCAGATCTTTCACACAGGTGTCTATTGTTTTTCAGTAGATATCAAAATAGAGAATATTGCCAGAGAGACCAAAATGCTTCAGGCAGGCACACATGTGAAAATCCTATCAGCGGGCTGCATAAAACTGCAGCTTCAGTCCAGTGTCTGACCCAGATCCCTTTCCTGGGAATCTCACATGGTGTGGAGAGGAGAGGTCTTCACCGGCAAGGTGATGGGGCAGTGGGGGTACAGTTACCAGCCTTGACTACAGCCCAGGAATGTTTGGGAATGAGTGTGTGCATAGGTGAATAAATAGGGTAACACATACATCTGCTAATTACAACCACATTAAGTGCTGTGTCAGCACTAGAGAGAGAAATGGGCAATTCTTCATTTTGTGGTAAGGATTGGCAAGTTAATTAATGTAAAACACTCAGAACAGTGCCTGGGATGTATGAAGCCCATGATCAATGTTAGTTATTATATGTCCATCCTTATTACCTAGTCATCTTAATAACTAGGACAGAGTTCCCCCAAACACGTATGGTTAATGGACTTTCCAGCTCAATTCCCTTTTTGCTTCTACAGCTTCTTCCAGCTCATAGAATTTCCCATTTTTAAGAGCAACCCTGTATGATTTTTAAATGCTCGGGTTTAATGATTCCTCTTCCACAGAGAATATAAGAAATGGACATGGTGTGGCCTTGCATGTGCCAGGCCCTCTGCCAGATGCTCTTTAATTTGCTCCCTCATTTGATCCTTGAAACAGCTCTGGAAGGGACACATAATTGAACCCTTTCCACTGGTGAGAAAACTGAGACCTGTAGCACGATTATGGCTTCCTTTCCCGACATGCCATACTTTGGTCTGCTAACAAAAGCAGGAAGCAGAGCGACTGCAATGACATCGTAACAGCATTGAATCAGACTGCCAGCAGCTGCCTTGGCAAGTAGGGAGCTGCCTCCCACGGCAGCCCATAGATCCAACTCAGCTTCCAGATGACCTGCTCTAATTACTGTCACCAAGAACCCCTTGGGGAATCAAATGCCTGTTTTAAGAAGCCCCTTTTGGAGTTTTTCAGGAATTTCCTCCCCCTGTGCCTCCCCCAAACAACAGTTTCCTTTCCATGTATTTGTTAAACACTCACACAGGTTCACTATGCCCAGGCAGTATTCTATGCAGTTGACAATTAGTGACTGACATTTTCTATTCAGTCTTCATAGCCACCCTGTGAGGTGGGTGCTGCCAATATCCATTTAACAGACAGTGAAACTGAGGCACGGAGATGTTAAGTAACTGGCCCAAGGTCACAGCTAGTCAGTGGCAAGGCTGGGATCTAGTATACTTTGCAAAAATATTCAATATACTTTGCAAAAATACTGGCTTCTTTATCCGGCCTCAGATAATATTATGACCCAGTGCACATAATCCTCTGCATTTTGAAAGCAACCTGGAACAGTGCAAATTGAAGTATAGTTGCAGGATAATTACCACTTACATGGAGCTTACTGTGTGCCAAGCAGTGGGTGAAAAATTACAATCTGCAAGTGGTTTTTCCTGCCTTACCTGTGAAGGAGCAGAGGCCTTTCGCACCTGAGTCCCTTGCCTTGCAGAGGAAGAATCTCATGTCTTTAAACAAAGATAAAAGAATTTGATAACAGGAAGATCTTGCTAAATGCAAACCAGCTACTGCCACTTCTTCTGGTGCTCAAATAAAGAAACAGCATCTGCACACACTCAGAGGAAAAACATTTTATTATAATAATAAAACTTAAGTAAATAAAAATTTGTACAATAAATTTTATATAAATAAGGAATTTTATATAACTTTTAACAGAAATAAAATTTTATATAATAAAACTTTCATTGCTGGCACAAAGCCAACATATAAACCATTATATGAAAAATTAGAAGGGCTATATAATTTATTGACCATCTTTTATGTGCCAAGCACTCAGGTGGATGGTGTTATTTTAATTTTACAGATAGAAAACTGAGGCCCAGGGAAATTAAGCAACTTTCCCAGAGTCACACAGCTAGTAAAGTGGTGCAGTGTCTTTAGACTCCAGAGCCCATGCTCTTTTCCCCTATATCAGCATTTCCTAAACTGTGTTTTGTTCCATAATATACTGTATGTATTAGTAAGTGCTTCTTGAAGTAAGGGTTCTATGCTGATATAATTTGGGATAATGTTGGGATAAACTTTTTTTTTTTTTTTTGTCTTTTTTCGTGACCGGCAACGGATCGCAACCCTCAGTGTTGCACCCATACCGGACCGGGACTGGCCACGGGATCGCAACCCTCGGTGTTGCCCCTGCTCCTCGCTCAGCCAGTGAGCGGCCGGTCTGTATGTGGGATCCGAACCCTCGGCGGGAGCGCCATCGCACTTCCCAAGCGGCGCACTGTAGCAGTGCGCCACCTGGCCGGCCCCTCAAGGATGATTTTGATTTCATGTGTTTTTTTAGCTATCTTTCTAACTGAGAATTTCAGCAATTTAACCACACAGATGATGCATGGTTGTTATTTTGAGTGTAAGATGACAAGATGTAAATCCAGTGACAGACACATAGATGCAGTTGCTTAATAAGTATTGGTTCATCTTAAATGATTCCTGAAAGAACTTTCATTCGGGCCATGTGACCCACCATAGGAAAGCTCACACCAGGACCATGAAGAGTCCAGGAGGAGCCTGGATGGGGCCCAGGGAAGGCACGCATGTCTGCACCCCTCTCAGCACAGCTGGCGAGAAAACCCACACACATCTGCAAAGAATAACCTGGGAAGCTCCATTTTGCTGTATATTAAGTACATGGGTCATTCAGTTAGCCATGTGGCTAGAAATTCATGTCTGAATTCAGATGTAGGGATTACACATAGTATTAGTTTCCAAAGGCTGTGATCATAAATTACCACAAACTTGGTGGCTTAAAACAACAGAACTTTATTTTCTCAGAGTTCTGGAGTCCAGAAGTCCAAAGTTAAGGTATCAGCAGAACCAAACTGCTCCTGGAGACTCTAGGGGAGAAGCCTTCCTTGCCTCTTCCAGATTCATGTTTTTTTTTAAATTTAATTTTATTTTATCAATATACAATGTGATTGATTTTTGTATCCCTTTACCAAATTCTCCCTCCCCCATCCCTCTACCGGCTCCCTCCCATCAACCTCATATCTGTTCGCTTGTCTTAACAACTTCAAGGAATTGTGGTTGGGTCTTCATCCTGTCCCCCACCCAGTTTGTTTGTATATTTATTTAATTATTTTTAGCTCCCACAGATAAGTGAGAACATGTGGTATTTCTCTTTCTGTGCCTGACTTGTTTCACTTAATATAATTTTCTCTAAGTCCATCCATGTCGTTCCAAATGGGAGTATTTCATTCTTTTTTATAGCAGAGTAGAATTCCATTGTGTAGATATACCACATTTTCCTTATCCACTCATCTGATGATGGACATTTGGGCTGGTTCCAACTCCTGGCTATTGTAAAGAGTGCTGCAATGAACACTGGAGAACAGGTATACCTTCGACTTGATGATTTCCATTCCTCTGGGTATATTCCCAGCAGTGGGATAGCTGGGTCATATGGTAGATCTATCTGCACTGTGATCTGAAAAAATACATGGGATAATTCCAATTTTTTTGAATT